TTCGAGTCTTGAGTATTCATTGCAATTATCTGCTATCATCGCATTAAGAAAATTCACAATAATTGTTACGAGGGCTGCTACATATATTTCTAGCCTAATAATGAAAATGCGAATATTTATCATCAAAAATTGATTTATTGTTTGTCAAAGTATTCTTCAGCCTGATTTATATACTTTTGCATGCGCTCAAACCAATTGTCGAAATACTTTTTCCACACAGATTGATACACCTCCAAAACATGGTTCTTGAACGCTTCAACACCGTCTCCTGGCGACGAAGATTTTTTTCTTGATGTGCGGGAATAAAAAAAAGTCATTGGGCGCCAAGTCTGGGGTGTACGGCGGATAGCCTAACATATCAATTCGACGTTTTGGCCAGTCAAAAAGGCGATGGTTTGAGCGGATGTGTGAGAGCTCGCGCTGTCATGGTGAACAATGATTCGTCTTCTCTTGCTCGTTTTTCGAATTTCTCCGAAGACTTCAGGCAAAAAATTGTGGTGTACCATTCAGAAGTGACCGTCCTTCGTTGCTCAAGCGGAACAGCCGCAGTCGCCACATGACCAGTTTTGCCGAAGAAATAGGCGACTATTTGCTTTGAAGTACTTCTTCCACGAACAACTTTCGTTGGATTTGGCTCGTCTTCGAAGACCCACACGATCGATTGTTGTTTGTTTCGGGCTCATACGCATAAATCAATAGTTCGTCATCTATGACGATTTTATAAACGTCTTTGGAAGCACTGCGAACGTATTTTTTCAACATTTCTTTGCACCAAGGATGCCTCTATCTCACGGTATATCACATGACGATCTTGCATTATCAGTTCACGCACAGCATCAATGTTCTTTGGCACAACGCCCGTTTTTTGACGACTTTAACGGAATTCGTCGTTGAGCGAGCGTCGGCCACGATTGAATTCATTAAACCAGTTTTCACAGTGCTTTAGGATGGTGCTTCATCGCTATACAAAGTTTTAAGTTCATCAATGCACTCTTGTCAGATAATCCACGTCAAAAGTTGTGAAAAATGATCACACGAAAAGGTGTAAACACTATTTTTTGGCCGAGATGAATTTTTTAAGGCTCTGTAAATAAAACAAATCACAATTATATGACAACACGTTCTGAATGATATTATGCTAAAAAATGTCAACCTTTCCAATGGAAATGTCAGATTGCACCTGGCAACACTCAGTGTTTCCTAGGCCAGAAAAATATATAGCAGCCCTCGTAGACATCTAAGTGCCGCCAAAAGTTAAACGCCATAATGACGCACAAGTTAGAAAAGTAACTCACAAAACTGTTTGAAAATATAAAGACAGAACAAAAAATTCGAGCTATGTAAATTTTCACTTCGAGTTACGGAAATATTTAAGTTAGCGGAATTCGACTTCTGGAGAAAAAAGTACAAGGAAGACCTGTTAAAAATTCAAACTTCGTAAATAGGACTTCGATTTGTGGAATAATTTGAGTTAGGGGACTTCGAGTTAGGAAAATTTCAATATATTTGAAATTTAAATTGAAACAAGTTTCATATTTCTTGGGCTCATTGAACACAGCTATTAAATATGTAAATCGAATAACAGATAAAGTAACTTATTTGATCTCTAGAAATACATTTCTGCAATTTTTCTAAACCTTAAGGAAGCAATTGACACGCACGATGTAATAATGTTATATGCAAAATGCGCTGCCTATTAACAGGGCGCAAGTATATTAAAGCCAAAAAACTGCAAATGAATCTTCATGGTTTCCTGTGCTAGGGTACAATGTCCTCAATGCTAATATTCTATAAAAACGATAGTCAAAAATTCTGATAAAAATTATTGATATTCGTAGTATATTGTATTCAATGAGTTGTACAAATTGTCTTTCCAAATGCGGAGTTTGATAGAATTAGAAAAAAATACAATAAAAATCTGCGATATTAATATTTCGTTAACTAGTAATTCTTGTCTAAAAACAAATCAGCCACTAATTAGTATCAAATAACTAGATAAAGACGCATTAGTTTTGCTTAGTGAATTGCAGAACATCAGTTGTTTTCTTATTAAATCATATATAATGCTGATCCGAATATGTAAGTTCACTTATTTGTTTTTCTCAATACACAATCGTTTAATTAATATTAAAGTCGGAATGTTATATGAGTCGAGTGAAGACTTAAATATTTATTGTTAGTGTTCTTCTGAGAGAAACCAGTATAAATAAATGTGTGTTTTTAAAAAACAGAAAAGAACTTTATTTCCACATAAAATAGTAAGATGACAAATAATTTAAAAAAACTTTTCTCAATGCACTTACTACTACAATCTCAAATTGCATGTAATGCAATAAAGGGCATCGTAAAAATATTTTCATAAAACTATTGATTACAGAACACCAGCACGTCTGTTTTGATGCAAGTGCTTAACCAGAGTGTCTGTTCTAGTTTTACGACTACGGCTAGATAAAAATCAGCAGCGAAACATATATGTGTTTTAGCGGGTCCCTCATAAAATTTCTCATCAAAATTACGCTTTCATTAAAAAAGCACTTAAATTCAAACTAAAAAACTCTTTCATCATTTCATTTCTACTAAAGTTAAATTAGATTTTAAATTAAAAACAGTTATACAATTATGAACTTTATACAAAAAAATCGCAAAAGAAGAATTATAGTCTAAATGATCAAAATTAAATTAATAATTGATGTTAGCGTAAGATATCTTTAGTGTGCAACAACTCTTCTCATTTATTATTTGTTTCACCACAAATTCTTTCTCAGTACTTTCTTCCCCACATTCCAAAACCACATCCTTCCGTTTGTCATTGTACGACTTTGTAAAAGGAAGAAAAAGGTATACATGCGCAGCTGCATATCCCTTGTAGAGGGTCAACAAAGCACGTGCTGTTTTCAAAGGATTGCCAAATTTAAAAAAAAATTCAAAAGTATTCTACATAAACTAATTTTAAATAAATTGTTACTAATTAAAAAAAAACACCCTTACCCATACTATTCTTCCCCCTCCCCAGTAAAGTGCTTTCCGATTTTTCTCAATTATAATTTTAGGCGTTGTACGATTTCCAGAAAATTCATGGTAAATTGAGGGAAATAGTAAATCATGTCGGTGTGGCAGCAAATGTTGGTATTTACCACAATTTCGACTAGGGTAAATTAAGTATAAAATTAGGTAAATTAAGTGTTATCATTGTGGTAACTTTATAAGACGTATAATAAATAAATTTGAATACTACTAACAGAAAAATAATAAATAAGTATAAATAAGTGTAGTGCAAAAAATCCCTAGAAAATTTCAATTTACTTTACCACAATTTACTCGAACTCGCACATGGACTTAATAGAAGAATGAAATCGATCAATCTTAATATTATTTACGGAGTACACAAATTGATTCGATTATATTATGTATTAAATTGCTTGTCTTCAAAAAAACTTTCTTTTCGAAATAGTCGACAACGACGTTGTGTGAGAATCGTGTAATTATAATTTTTACTTCTGATGCTGTCACACTCTTTTTAATGTTGAACTAAAAAGTGCAGAATTTGATTTAATATTACTTAGTAGAATTCTTTAAAAATTGTGTATCTTCATGTTCAGGAACTTTTTCAAGTCCCGATCATTTTCTGTCGAGAGTCTGATATTAAAATAGATCAACCAAAATACAGGGCGCAAGTGTCGTTGGCGTACATACCAGTCAAAATACTATATTACACAGTTTATGAGAGAAAAAAATTAGTTGAAGTCGGATATGGTATTATAGTAGCTAGCAAAATACAAAGAGAATTATTTTTTTATAGATCTTAAAAAATTTTTAAGAAACAAAATAAGTGTTTATATTTTTAGGTTAAAACTGACATTACTTGGTAATATTTTTATTTGCCGTTCTCATCGTTCAAAATGAAACCTCCAAGAGTGATTACAGCAAATTGTCTAGGAAAAGAACATTTACATGTGTTAAAAATATTTTCCTGTGAATAATCGCTCTTGGTAAGATTTCTATTGGTTAGCATTTTTAGTAGCTCTTAATTTTTTCAACGCTCTTCTCATGTGCCAAAAAACGCGTTAGCGCCGTTTTAGAGTAGCAAAGAACGAATATATACATCCTATTAGTATATTATATAGTATATTATAGCTGCTAAAAACCATAAAATTTGGCTCACCTAAATATGCGTTGCTGTAATTTTTAATATAAATTAGTGTACTTTGATTATATATTTTTAATTTTTCTTTAACAACTATTCACTGAAAGTCCTAATAGATCATACGGGAGTACGTCGTTATTCTTCTTCATTAATTTCTTTTCACGTTATTCATAAGAAAATAAAAATTTACTTGGCAACTCTACTTTTCATCAAGAAAAAATCCGAACACAATAGATATGAAAAAAAATCACAAAATATAAAAATTATTTGTAATCAACCCACCCTTACCACACAAAATCAAAATATGGGTGTTGCCCTATATTTTGTTAATGTAACCATATGGAAAAATTGATATCATTTTTATATTAAAAATATTTTGAGGTGTCAAATTGCACATGTCCATAATGGCAACAAAACAAGCTAAGATGAAATGGCGTGCAAATCCACATGTACGAAGAGCCCGAACCAAACGAAGAAATGTCAATAGACACAGTCCATGTATATCAGCTATTGTGTTTGGCAGCTATTGTTCTGTGGCAGTTTTATTTGAAAAATGTAGATAAGAAAATATTAATATGCACATACTTTAGCTAAATATGAACAAATTTATTATTGGGCAGCCTATCGTTGTCTATTTTCTAAGTAGGCGTTGATTTGCAATTGGTTCTACTCTCATCCAATTTTTATGAAGTGTCTTTGACTATTTCTTCATCATTTTAGTTATTGAATATTTGTTTCATATAAAGAAAGGTTGAATTGTTGCAAATACGATTTAAAAATTTTTATGATCAACTTTTTCCATCAAACCTGCATATAGTCAATTTTTAAAAGCAACTCTTTTTGATTTTATTGAGGTACTTTCAAATATAGAGAGAATAGAGCAGATAATAATTGTATGCTTTAAAACAAAATTTTTTTCTATTCAAAAATATGTCAATCACTTTTTACATTTTCTTGTATTTACATATTAATATTTATCACAATTGATGGTTTTTAGAATCGGTTTTACCAACTCAAGTGTTGCTATCGACAGACGCTTCATCTTCACTTACATCTATCGGTTTTCCATCTTCCTCCTTATCTTTTTCTTTTTCGTCTTCCTCTTCTTCTTCTATTTTTTTTATTTCTTTTGCTTCTTTTTTGTCTTTTTTTTCGCCTTTCTCTTCTTCTTCCATGGATGGCTTATCACAAAGTCTGTGCAATTCAATAAGATAATCTCTTGTAGGACCCACGTGACTTGTTTTCTCCTCATCATCATCTAGATACTCATCGCTGTCATCAGAGTTTTCTTTAAACAATATTTCTTTTCGCAGCTTCTCATCTCTTTTCATTTGAACTTCAAGTTTTTTTTTCATATGCTGCAACCCATTTAAAAATTTCTTGTGGTAATCTTCTTCTTCGGATTCTTCTTTATCTTCTTTATTTTTTTCCCAAAAATCCATTGTATAACTGTACAAAGAGAAATATGCTGTAAATTAAAATTCCGTGATCAAATGGAAACATAAAATTGTCTTAATATAGATACATAAGTGAGAAGTCTGAGAACCACAAACTAAATACAGCGACCGCTATTTTAAGTAGACGACATATTTTAAGTAAATTGGACCCGAAACTTAGGATTAGCATGAAATTGCACGATTTGGACAGTTATCATTTTAGGAGATCATTTGTTGAACAGAACTTTCACTATCTTTTTACAGAAGTGTACAGGATAATACATTCATTCCCATTATAGTTTTATATGATTTTGCATCAATATAATTGATTGATTTTAGAAGAAAGACTAGATGCTCATGAATAGATTCTTGTTTAGTTCGTATTGCCATAGGTTGTTTAGATTGGTCTCTTACACATCTCAATATAAAGCTATTTAATCAGATATGGGTAAAGAGCAAATATTGTTAATGTGTAATTTATAAATATTGTGTTCTTACATTGAAATCTCACGAAATTGTTTCCTTAACTTTTAAAGCAGGTATACAAAAATTGTTAATAATAGTTAAAATTAAAATCTGATAATTAAATATTTTTTTAATAACTAAATAATTTCTAGCCTTCTTATACTAACATTTTAAAAAGATATATACTGCAAGGATATTGTGTACATGAGAAGTGAAAAAGTTGAAAGATTAAGATTGGCACCACATCAGTGCCTATTAATCTCTATTAATCTACTAATCTACTTGCTCACTAATGTGGGTGAGCTAGTCGTAGGGTTTCACAGATCTGGTTGATCACTAATATTTTTCAATATACTACAAAATCAGGAGATTCAACGATGTGTGCGAGTGGTCTTTCTAAAATAAGAATAAATCTAACAATCTTATTAATAGGTTCTGTAAAGATATTGATTGCGTAATGAGTTTGCTTATGAGTCGATGTCGCCTAGAAAATCATGTCATGACTGAATATTTTTTATAATGATTCTTTCCAAAGCTTTACGATGGGAGAGTGTTTTATATCTGTTCTGCCACTAAAATTCATATTTTAAACGATAACCCATTAGCCAAACTGAATTGCTAAAATTGCTATTATAACCAAATCTAAAATGTGAATGAAAATGGGAAACTTGAACTTCTCTGTAGCATCACAAAAAACCGATTTATAAAGACGCATAAGATACAAGTGACTCAATAACTTAAATGCGCACTTATTGAGTAGAAATTGTGCTGTTTGGGTTCAAAACTAATATGAAATAGATCTATATTATAATTCGTGCATAAACAAAATTGTTGAATTCAAGGTAAATGAAAACTCTAAACTCAATTGAAACAGGATAACATCCACGAAAATAACAAGGTTGATATGGTTTATAGCCTAGAGGTGAGTGAACTATTTTCCTTTAAATCAAAAATTATACTGCAGTCAATATAATTAAAGAGAGTCAGAGAAGAATGATTACTAATTTTTGAATATGTGAAGTAAACGCTCTCGAATTGGAAGTCATTTATCGTAATATCTGTGAGACAAGTAGTTACAGCAAGCAAAGAGGTCACATCCATCTAGACAACTGCATTAAAAGTACAGACAATACAATATTAAAATTTTATAATACTAAATAAATTAATAAATCGAATAATAAATAAAAAATTTGCAATAAAACGTCATTAATTCTTACCAGAACGCAGTATATCACAATTTTCTCTCTTGCGAACAAAATACTATTAATATAATCCGACTTTAGTACTCATAGGAACTCACATACTCATTTTTCAGTACTATGAAATACTTGCAGAAATTTGTTAATCAACAATTTAAGCAAACTGGTTCTTTATATAAATCAGTTTAAAAATTTTAATAAATATATTACAACTATTTGCAATTATATAAAGCAAAAGCCATTCCAAGTGTTTCGTACTGAAATATGGTATCTGAAATTATATATCTTATAACTGACAATTGTTTTTTAAAATATATTTCAATGCTGACTTAATCTTTAAAAAAAATTAGTAACATTCTCTCATCATAAATCAAAAGTGATCATGTCTTTTAAAATTGTAGTATTTCGTTTAATATAGATTCTTAAATTATAAACAATTTCCTATTAATGATAAGTTAATGATAAGTTATAGCAATGACAGATATGGTCGTCTGGTCTCAATACCAATCGTAATTAATTTTTTTTATATTTAAGTTATATGCAATCGAGTTTTCAAATTTTTATATCCAAGCAAAAATCAAATAAACTAGGCCTATTCATAGTTGAAATTGATTAAAGATAGATATAGTTGGGATATTATGGGATATTATCTTAAAATAATCAAGCGAAATAAGTTAAGCAGAAGGTTTCCTTTTGGCAAATACAAGCAGACGTGAAAAATCTCCATTTTAATGGTTTTATTAAACCTTTAATCCAATAAATATATATAAAAAACTAGAAATAACACAATATGTTAATTTTTTTGCCGCGAGTGATGCGTCTTTATGACTAAAAGAAACTGTTTAAAAATTGGACTGATTCGAATAGCAAAGAAAAGACAAGGACAAACATTTATTTAGTTTATTAAAATTTGGCTAACCATACAACGCTGTTTCGAGTATTCATCAGTGGTCTTAGGAAATATTCGAATTTCTTCATCATGCCAGACACAATATTTCATTAAATAACAGAATAATTTTAAAATATTTGAGTAGAACATTAAGTTTTACTTCTCACATCAGCATAGCAAAGACATAATTGGATACAATTTGTTTATTGTATGCATCAAGTTTATTTTTAATAATCAGAAATAATATTCACAATATTTTAATGACTTTTATGAATATAGATCAACTAAGGTACCACATTCTATTTAAAAAAAATAAAATCGTTTGTGTTTGGAAATTTTTAATACTCAACATAGTCACTTCCCCTCCGTAAACGTGGTGGATAACGACTGTTTGTAAAGAAAACGGACTGGCTGTCGTGTCTTGCCTTCTCATTCAACTTTGTTCAACGGGAAATTGTTATCCTTCACACAAAAGCACTATTGTGCAAATTTCCCTTTCAGCTGCTTTCAAATTCCCATATTTTAGGTGCTAACAAATGACTGAAAGTCATGAAACATTCAGTTATGCTTCAACTGAGCATGCAAATGGACGCACATGGCGTATGAGTAACATTTTTGTATTTTTTAATTAAAATCCTCTTTCAAAATCAAACGAGTTCTGCTCGTTGACTTTGTTGACTGCATTCCAATTAAAAATTCATTTAAGAAAATTTAATGCAATTACAAAGAGACCGAAGCATTTGATAAATATTTGCATAAGCTGTTTTGGGTTAATTGTGAAACTTACACTTCCTGTAGGGGTATTCATTAGCAGTTCGTACGTAGCCCGCTGCAGTTGTTTGGTTGTTTGGTTGTTTGATTGTTTGTTTTTAAAGTGCAGCGCAATACACACATAACATAAGGTAGGTGTATGCATTATTTAACTACTGAGACCAGTGTTTAGCACTGATTGAAATTGAAATAATTTAAGGAAATATTAATATGTTTAGCACAATGATAGCTTGAGGATGTGTTTTATTCGTTGTGTTCAAATGAAAAAGAACTATTCACTTCTGCTTCGTAAAGCTTATTTTATTGTTAAATATTTACTTAAAATGTTCTTGAACTATTATTTGCACAAATTTATATATATACGGATAAATAACTTACGAACTTATGCGAAAGCTATGTAAAAATATTTTCCAATAATGCCGAAAACAACAGCAACAAAATGCAAAATTGGGTTTGCAAAGTTAATAAAGTTTTTCTCGGGGCTTCTTTGTGTTCAAATCTATTGTTGAATAATATTTAATAATATAAAAATTCTATTGATAAAAGCATGCAGAATTAAGCTCAGCATGTACGCTCAGATTATGCACATGGAATGGCTACTGAATTTTTTTTAATTGTTGAATAGTTATTGAAATAGTTGTTCACAGTTATTTCATTGCTTCGAAGCTTAATTAAAAAAAAAGTATCTCATACTTAATTATGAGATACTTATGAGATAATTATACACATTGTTTATAACTTAAACCACTTTTGTTTAAAACTTTTAGATGCAGTTTATGAAATTTCTTAATGAGAAATAACAAATAAAATTAGCGCCCACAAGGCTGATTTGTATTTTTTTTTTTTGTTTCAAAAGATTTATTTGCTGCTCCATTCTACGTGCAAATTAATATGATTATTTCCATTTTTATTGTTGAAACAACTACATGCTTTCCCATAAGGGATATTTTCGAATTCATATTTTAAACACCGCTGTAGAGGTTAATGATGCGTAATTAAGTTCACATGGAATTTTTCCTTCTCAATTGGTCTCTGGTCAAATTGAAACATTTCATTTAAAATTTAAAAAGTCAATTATAATCAATGATTTACTGATGTATTTGCGAGCTTTATGAAACTCAATTTTTCCAACAAATAGTTTCATTATCGTTCATAAAAAAGACGAGTGCATCGTATAATACATAAAAGTATAGTGAATTTATTTATGAAGAATGTTCTTAAACTGCTTTTCTTTATAAATGCATTATTTACTTATTTAGAAAAACCCAAGATTATCCAATTTATGCGGTATTTTAATTCTAAGCTTAGGCCCTAGGTTCTCCTCGATCATTCAAATAATTTCACAAGCAGACCAAACACTTCCGTTGTGCTTTTAATTTCGGTAATAAATTTTATAAAATATATTTATATGTTTAGCATTGCAATAACCATCATTCCAATTGTACGCTATTTCATATAAGAAGACTTCTTATTGTAAAGTGCTAAACGGAACTCTACGGGATATAAATTTAGCCATGATTGATGTAGTTGCACAAAAACACTGAAATGCTTACAACTACTTTTCAAACCCAACAACCTTAGTGCGAAGAACAGAAAGCTGATCTACAGCCAGATAATTAGACCAGCACTACTTTATGGCTGTGTCGCGTATAGCAAACGGCAAATTTTGCAGGTGTAACTATGGTAAGGTTTGGTTAGTGTGGTCTGACTTTATTTCTGAAATTCTATCTAAACTTCTAAGTTTTAATATTGAAATGGGTAAAAGTCTTGATTTTAGTTTAATGGAATGCATGTGTTTCTGTTTATACTCTTTTATATATATAATTTTTATTGTTAAACTTTTTTTTTGACTTCCATGTATCCAAGATATTTTGCTGCTTTCATATATAGGACGTTCTTTCTCTGATTGTTAAGGATTGGAATCCATCCAAAATAAGGTGATAGTTGAATCAGAAAAACTCAGAAAAAAACGAACACGATGAGTGCGAAAAGCGTCATAAATTCGATAAATTATTTCTTGAAAAATTCTACAATGACGAGTTTCATAAAATTTGAGAAAACTTTTTCATTAAGTCTCACAATGTGTATTAGGATGTCCCTTATATGGGTGAAAAAAATTTTTTTTAGATATGCATACCTCCTGTTTCTTTTTAAACTACCCAGACTTACTTAAATAAAAAATTTCATCTTCCTACGTCAACGTTAACCTGTGCCGACAGTACTCTGAAGATTTTGAAAACTGCTGTTTTTAACCCTTTCCGTTATATACCTAAATCAATGGATATATTAAAATTTTTATGAAATAATTATTAAAAGAAGATAAAATTACAGATCAGTCAGGATATTTTCTTTTTTGCATCTCTTTTTTACAGTCTGGATACAGATTTCTATGCTCCTGAACACAGCGCAGCAAAAATTGCTTCTTCTCCTCCTTTGCAGTGATCAAACCAAAAAAATCTTATATAAGTTTTACAGCTCTTTCAGCCGTATCATTAACTGTCCTTAAGGGAATCACTTTCCTTTTCGCCTCCAAATAGGCAACATCTTCATCCCATGTAGAAATGGGTCTCTGGAGGAAATCTTTATCAATTTTTAATCGAGAAAATAAATTTGTGCTCTTGACAGATGAAATGTATCTCTTCCCAGAATTATACGAACTCTCTCTTTAGAAACTCACTACATTGTTCGTTTTGATTTGTTCATTAACTTTATGATCAAAAATGATGCTTTGGAGATCAATTTGTCAACAGAGTCATATTCCTTAAGCCTCTTTAAAAAGCACAAATCTTAATTTAGTGGCTTTACCGTCAGACTATATCCAAGCTATGGTTTTACATATAAAACCGCAATGAATATACAGATGTCTTGAAATACTCGCTTATCTTTGTCGCTAATTTTGAACTGGGATTGCGACAAACATATCTTTAAAGAGTAAATAGCTCTAGCCATTCACCTTGCTTGATGCACCGCTCCAAGAGGTCTTATTTTAAATTTTTTTTTCGCTGTCTCCTCCTAAGAAAGTAATAGATAGTTTAATTAGTTCCCAATAATCTTCACATCCAATGGTTTTTTGCAGTTCTTGATTATAAAATGTGAACAAATCTTTTATTGTTGTATTACAAAAATGTCTTGTGACGTTATCGGTATATGTTTCAATGGCAGCAGGATTAATAGTTTTCCAGTTATCTCTAAACTTTTTGAACAGTAAGATATCGGGGCTACTTGTGACCAGTTCATAAACGTCATGGCCGCAAGCAAAGAATAGTATTTCCCTGTTTAGTTTTTGTTCTAAAAGTACACAAGCTCCTTTCAGTCGCCCTATATTAGACGCAGTTGTGTCACAGTACATTATTTGTACTTTGTCATCGAAGTTTCAGTCATAAAGTGCGTTCAACACAGCTCCAGCTTGAGCCTGGTCGGAAGAGCTTTCCAGTTTAAGTACAGCTAGAAATTTTTTCTTTTTTGCAAATGAAATTAGAATTGGCAGGCGTTCTTCTGTACAACTTCTTACGTCAAGTCCACTGAACGGTCACCATTTCAGGCATATTATTCTGAAAATCTAATAGATTTCGCTCTATCTTTTTGACTCTGCGTGCGA